AATCGAAGATAGGTTATTTGAAAATACACAGAGAAGACAAAAGAAAAAAGAATATGAAAGAATGAAGCACACCTATAAGATCTAGAAAACAGCCTCAAACGGGCATATCTAAGTTATTGGCATTGAAGAGGAGGTAGAGAAAGATATCAGAATAGAAAGTTTATTCAAAGGGATAATTACAGAGAACTTTCCAAACCTAGAGAAAGATAATCAATATCCAAGTATCCAAGAAGTTATCCAAGTATCCAAGATTATCAATATCCAGTATCCAAGAAGGTTATGGAACACCCAGCAGATTTAACCCAAAAAAGACATTTAACAATCAAACTTCCAAAGGTCAAGGATAAAGAAAGGATCCTAAAAGAAGTAGGAAAAAAGAAAGAACATATAAAGGGGCTCCGATACATCTTGCAGCAGACTTATCAGTGGAAACCTTACAGGTCAGGAGAGAGTAGTATAATATATTTAAAGTGCTGAAGGAAAAACCTTTCTTTTTTTTTTTTTGAGACAGTGTCTCACTCTGTTACCCAGGCTGGAGTGCAATGGTGCGATCTTGGCTCCCTGCAACCTCCACCTCCTGAGTTCAAGCGATTCTCCTGCCTCAGCCTCCCGAGTAGGGGGGATTACAGGCGTGTGCCACCACGCCCAGCTAATTTTTTGGATTTTTAGTAGAGATGGGGTTTCACCATGTTAGCCAGGATGGTCTTGATCTCCTGACCTTGTGATCCGCCCACCCTGGCCTCCCAAAGTGCTGGGATTACAGGTGTGAGCCACCGCACCCAGTGAAAAACTTTCACAGTTTATCCAGTGAAAATATCCTTCAAACATGGAAGAAGAAATAAAGACTTTCCCAGAAAAACAAAAGCTGCGGGATTTCATCAATGCCAGATCTCTCCTACAAAAAATGCTAAAGGGAGTTATTCAGTCTAAAAGAAAACAATGTTAACAAGCAGTAAGAAATTATCTGAAGGTACAAAACTCACTGGTAATAATAAATACATACATAAAAATAGTCTGTTATAACTATTATAACATTGTAATTGTGGTATGTAAACTACTCATATCGTGAGTAGAAAGATTAAAAGATGAACAAATAATAACTACAATACCTTTTCAAAATAGCATAAGAAGATATAAATAGAAACCACAAAAAGTTAAAAAACAGGAGGAATGAAGTTAAAGTGTACAGTTTTTATTAGTTCTCTCTTTGCCTGTTTGTTTCTGCAATCAGTGTCAAGTTGTCAGTTTAAAATAACATGTTATGTTATTTGCAAGCCTCATGGTAACATCAAATAATAAAATCTACAACACATATACACAACAAAAATGAAAAACAAGAAACTAAAACATACCACCAGAGAAAATAAACTTCACAAAAAGGAAGAAGACAGGAAGGAAGGAAGAGAATACACAACAAATAACAAAAGCCAGCAGTTAAGTCCTTATCAATAATAACACTGAATGTCAATGGATTAAACTCTCCAATGAATAGACATAGAGTAGCTGAATCAATTTTTTAAAAAGATTCAATTATCTGTTGCCTACAAGAACCATACTTCACCTATAAAGACACTCATAGACTGAAAATAAATAAGGTAAGAAAAATATTCCATATAAATGGAAACAGAAAAAGAACAGGAGTTGATATACATGTATATCAGGCAAAATAAATTTCAAGGCAAAACTTATAAAAAGAGACATGGAAGGTCGTTATATAATCCTAAGCAAAAAGAAAAAAACTGGAGGAATCACATTACCTGCCTTCAAATTATACTACAGAGTTATTGTAACCAAAACAGCTTGGTACTTGTATACAAACAGACACACAGACCAATGGAACAGAACAGAGAACTCAGAAATAAATCCATACATCTACAGTGAACTCATTTTTGACAAAGATGCCAAGAACATACACTGGGGAAAGGACAGTCTCTTCAATAAATGGTGCTGGGAAAACTGGCTATTTGTATGCAGAAGAATGAAAGTAGACCCATATCTCTTGTTATATTAAAAAATAAAATTGAAATGGATTAAAGACTTAAATCTAAGACCTCAAACTATGAAATTACTACAAGAAAACATGGAGGAAGTTGTCCAGGAAATTGGTCTGGGCAAAGATTAATTGAGTAATACCCCAAAAGTAGAGGCAATCAAGCAAAAATGGACAAATGAAATCACAGCGAGTTAAAAAGTTTCTGCAGAGCAAAAGAAAAAACAAAGTGAAGAGACAACCCATAGAATGGGAGAACATATTTGCAAATTACTCATCTGACAAGGGATTAATAACCAGAATATATAAGGAGCTCAAATAATCCAATTTTAAAAATCTAACCATCTGATTTAAAAATGGGCAAAAGATCTAGAAATAGACATTTCTCAAAAGAAGACATACGGTTCTGGGCACAGTGGCTCACACCTGTAAGCCCAATACTTTGGGAGGCTGAGGTGGGAGGATCACTGGAGGCCAGGAGTTCCAGATCAGCCTGGTCAACATAGTAAGACCTCTTTTAATTAGATGGGTGTGGTAATACATGCCTATAGTCCTAGCTTATCAATAACCTGAGGTGAAAGGATTGCTTGAACCCAGGAGTTCAAGGCTGCTGTGAGCTATGATTACACCACTACAGTGTAGCCTGGGTGGCAAATCTTTTTGGCCATCTCCAAAAAAATAAAAATAAAAACAATTGTTCTTTAAAGATGACATACAAATGGCAAACAGGTATATGAAAAAGTGCTCAACATCACTGATCATCAGAGAAATGCAAATCGAAACTACAAGGGGATATCATCTCACCCTAGTTAAAATGGCTTTTATCCAAAAGACAGGCAATAACAAATGCTGGTGAGGATATGGAGAAAAGAGAACCCTCATATACTGTTGTGATAATGCAAATTAGTACAACTACTATGGAGAACAGTATGGAGGTTCCTCAAAAAACTAAAAACAAAAAACAAAAAACTACCATATGATCCAGCAATCCCACTGATAGGTATATATCCAAAAGAAAAGAAATCAGTATATCAAAGAGATATATACACATCCATGTTTATTGCAGCACTATTGACAATAGCCAAGATTTGGAAGAAACCTAAATGTCCATCAACAGATGAATGGATAAAGAAAATGTGGTACATATGTACAATGGAATATTATTTAGCCATAAAAAAGAATGAGATACTACCATTTGCAACAACATGAATGAAAGTGAAGAACATTATGTTAAGTGAAATATGGCAGGCCCAGAAAGACAAACTTCACATGTTCTCACTCACTTGTGGGAGCTAAAAATTAAAACAACTGAACTCATGGAGCTAGAGAATAGAGGCCAAGAAGGGGTGGGTAGACTGGAGATGGTTAATGAGTACAAAAATATAGTCAGATAGAATGAATAAGATCTAGTATTTGATAGCATGACAGAGTGACTACAGTCAACAATAACTTATTGTACATTTTAAAATAACTAAAAGTATAATTGGAATGTTTATAACACAAAGAAATGATTTATGCTTAAAGTGATAGATAACCCATTTACCCTGATGTAATTATCACATATCATATGCCTGTATCAAAATATCTGAAGTACCCCATAAATATATACACCTTCTAAGTACTCCAATTAAAAACAAAAAAACCCTCAGATACTACGTCCTATTTTATGAAGAGACAGGTAACCAGAAGACTAGAGTATTAATGAATAAAAAGCCAAATAACAGAAATAAAGACAGCTGAAGATAGGGCTGGGGGTTAAATTATAAGCAAAATTAACTGGGATTCACTAATTTTGTAGCGAATAAGGCATTTGCAAGGTAGGTTCCATTCTGTAGTAAAAAATGCAATATAAAGTATGGAATAAGGAGAAGAAAAGATCCCAAAGAAATATCCTAAGATATATCTAAGATATACAGAAGCAGAGCCAAATAAAAAGTGTAAGTGGAAAAGCTTCATAGATACAATATTTGAACCAATTCTTTATGGATGAGGAAGAATTTCAGAAGCAGAAAAGAAAAAAGAGTATTTCAAGTAGAGAATGAAACTAATACATATTCTACACCAGCTAAGAGCCCTCATATTATGCTAATTTGTACTTTATTCTATAGGCTTTAGTAAGCCAATGGAAGTTTCAAAGCTGGAAAGCGACACAAGCAGGCCTGTATTGGTAGCAGTACTGAACACTGAACAGATGTGAGTGGTGGGAGAAGACTATGTGTGTGTCTAGGAGAGTAGAGGCAATGAGTCCACCTGCAAGAGCCCGGGTGAGAGACAATGAGACCTGAGCAGTAGCAGTGCTCATGTGAAATAGGGGATAGACCCCAGGGCATTTCAGAGACAGATTCAGAAGACTTGGTGAATAATAAATATGGGGGCAGAGGTAGAGGCTGTGTGAGGATAACTCTAAAGTTTCTAGTTAGGATGACACAGTGGATGACTTTTCATTAGCCGAAGTAGGAAATACAGTGAGTTGGTGGGTTTAAAAGAAGATTAAGGTTTTATTCAAACTGAGTAGTGATGCCTTTGAAAAATCCAATCGGAGGTATTCTAGAGACATGTCTGTTGCCCAGGAAAGAGTCTGGGGTAAAAATCTGAGAAACATCAGTTCTGCTTGATGCCAGGGTCCCCTCAGGAAACCTGTGGTAACTCCAGGACAATCTGAAATTTGAACAACTTAAGTCATAGGAACAGGTAAACTGCTTAGGAAGAGCCACTTTAGGAAGAAGAGAAATGGCCAGTTATAGACTCCTGGAAAATGGCAGGAGAAAGGAGAAATAGTAAAAGACACTGTAAAGAAAAAGAAATAGAGGAGAACCAGAAGTGAATAGAAGACAAAAGTTAGAGCATTAATTGTACTCAACCATTTTTTTTTTTTTTCAAAGATGAGATCTCACTATGTTGCTCAGGCTGGTCTCGAACTCTTAGGCTCAAGTGATCCTCCTGCCTTGGCCTCCCAAAGTGTTGGGATTACAGGTGTGAACCACAGCATCCAGCCTAACCATTTTCTTACCAAGTATTGATGGATACTGGTTTCAGACTGTTTTTCAGGTCTGAGTGATTCAACTTGTGTTCTTGAAGTGCAGAAACAATCCTGGAAGTCAGAAATGCATTATATAAGTGAAAAATAAGTTACAGTTAAGCAGGGGTGGTGTGTAGATACAAAAAGGTCTAGTGACTAGAGTGGGGAGCAGAGAGGAAGGGCAACATGCAGGAACCTGGAATTGAAGCCAGGATCCACATCATGGGGGAACTCAGTGTGGAACAGAAGGGAGAAGTGGCTGGGTATGCAGACAAACTTCATATATGTTAGCATTTCACTTGGTGCTATCGCTGATCCTTGCCCTCTTTTCTTGATGTCATAATAATTCATTTTAACTGTTGGTGTTAATTTTTAACTCTGTCTGTCAACACCACTGAGGTTTTCTTCTGAATATTTAGCCAAAGATTATTCTGCTGTATTCATTATAATTATTTTTATTTTGATCCTCAGCTATCTTCTTAAGTATAGAAACCATGTTTATTCACATTAAGCCACATATTGAGTGAAAAAATAATTATTTTTAAAGGTGATAAACATCTCTAATTACAACTCAAAGCAAATTAAGAGAGACTTACTTTTATCATCACAATTTACATTTTTTTGCATATTTACCTATGGTTCTATTATTATTTATTGCCAATAAAGAAATGTAACACCTACATGTGATTTATCACATCATCAATCAGTGGGGTGAAGCTGACCTTATACTATTTAGGAAGAAAAAGTATGTCAAAAGAAAAGTATAAACACATATGTATGAGAGGCTTTTATAACAAGATATTTTCAGTATCTGAAAAAATTTCTTTCTTTTTTTTGAGATGGAGTCTCCCTCTATCACCCACGCTAGAGTGCAGTGGCGCAATCTCAACTCGATGCAACCTCCGCCTCCTGGGTTCAAGCAATTCTCCTGCCTCAACTTCCTGAGCAGCTGGGATTATAGGCGCCTGCCACTATGCCTGGCTAATTTTTGTAGTTTTAGTAGAGATGGGGTTTCACCATGTTGGCCAAGCTGGTTTTGGACTCCTGACCTCAAGTGTTCCACCCACCTCAGCCTCCCAAAGTGCTGGGATTACAGACGTGAACCATTTCAAAATTTTTCATTTCAAGTATCTTATGGATATTTATTTTTATATAAACATTAAGGTACAATTTCAAATGAGTCTCTTAAGATATGTCTAGCTATGTCTACTTAACACTTCGTAGTCAATTACTTAAAAGTAAGTTTCCTTTTAAGAAACGTCAGAATTTCTCACTAATCAAACTAGTCATTTTCCCAGTTAGCCTATACTGCTGATTATTTTAACTTGAATTCCTACAGTCTGTATACTTTATAAATCTATTACAAAAATTTGGCATATATTCCCACTGTTTGATGTAAAACTCACCCTGAAGAATAGATGCTAAAAATGTCAAGATAGCTGTACAACTGAGTCCTCTGCAGAGTTTCTAATGGCTTCCTAGCGTGAATAACATTTATAATAAAACAGTTTTTGAAGATTATTACTGCTGTTCATATTGAAAATATCCACCAGCTAGGCAGGACATTTATGTATTGTTTGGTATTTATATATTTTTACATTTAGCTTTAATTTTTCATAACGACCATTAATACCACTGCAAAAGAAGAATTAACAACAGGCCTAACTGCTATTCTTAGAAAAGAGCTGCTTATAAGGTTGACCCTTGGCTAGTATCTGGGAACTGGGATTTTGTGGAGGTTCCCTTCATAAGAATTGCTCACTGTGTCTAAACCGTTCGTGCAAATAATATGGTTTATGCTGAACACCTGGCTTTTTTTCTGGGAGACTGGAATTTTGTTACTTGCTAGCAGAGCATGCCTACGTGACAAGTCCCCAATAAAAACCTTAAGTCCAAGTCTCTAATGAGCTTCCCTAGTAGACAACATTTCACATGTCACACCTCTGGGGGAACTGTGCATATCCTATGGGACTCCACTGAGAAAAGATTCTTGAAAGCTTGCGCCTGGTTTCCTCTCAACTTCACCCCACACACCTTTTCCCTTTGCTGATTTTGCTTTATACCTTTTTGCTAATAAATCTTAGCTGTGAGTATGACTGTATGATAAGTTCTTTGAGTCCTCCTGGCAAATCATTAAACCTGAGGGTGGTTTGGGAGAACCCTGACACAGCCCTCAAAATACACTCAAGCATTTAAAGAGCCGTTACCTCTAAAAAATGTGCATCACTTTTTTGATGAAAGAGAATTTAAGACATATTGACCCCATTTTTTTTTCAAAATAAGAGTTGTGATCTATGTTCTCAGTTTATAAAAATACAAAAAACATTTTATAAACTAATATGGCAGGCTTCTATTGCATCATCTTTATATAAAATTTTCACAGCCTAAGAAAGTGATCACTATTAAATACGAAGACAGCTAAAACCAGCCAATATAAGGAAGATATTTTTGCTCTCTCCACCTAAAAAATGTTAGCATGTTCATTAGCTGCCCATATTATAAAAATCACAAAATAGTCATATCTTATCCTTCAAAACATTTTTATATCCACACTGCATCAATCAAATGCTGGTGAACATAATAGCTCATGAAGAATCTACAGGCTAATTTCTTTCAGGCAGTATAATGATTTAAAATCATCCAGAAGAAAGCTCCCACAGAACATTTTTGAATATCATTTCTTTGTCCATTATCATAATAGCCAAGTAAAAAGTAGTTAGACCTTATAAAGAAACTGCATTTCTCCTTTGAAAACAGCATTTCTTAGTTCTCAAATAGAGGGTAAAACTTGAATGGGGAGGAATCCTTAAGTAAAAGTATCAACTTTATCCCAATTGCATAAATTTCTCATTTAGGAAAAAAAGTAAATATTTCGATTCAAAGAATTTAAAATATTTCACCATTGCAGAAAAATTGATTTAAAGTTAAAATCACTAACAATATAAATCACCCATGATCACATTCTATTATTTTTCACAAAACCCATAATTATGGAATAATAAGCTAAGACATCCTTTTTCCAAAATTTGAAAACCCTGGGCAACACACAGCCCGCTGAATCTCAGAATCCTCACCTATCAAATGAGGGGAATAGACTAAATGCCCTTCTATATCTTTTCCAACTTGAAAAATTGATACAAAATTGATACAAAATCTTAAGTAATCCTTTAGAGTAGGGGTGGCAAACTATGGTCCATGAGCCAAATCTGACCCACCACCTGTTTTTGTGAATAAAGTTTTACTGGAACACAGATACATTCATTCATTTATATATTGCCTATGCCTGCTTTCATGCTAGTACTTCAGCAGAAAAGTAACTGTAACAAAGACCAAAGGGTCTGTAAATACTATCTGGCCTTTACAGAAAAGCTTGCTGATCTCTCCTTTAGAGAATAAGACATTTCACCTCCGTGTATTTTCCAGATATATAAAGCTTCTCTTTCAAGTGGTAAAGCTTTACTTTAAACATAAAAGTAATTGTATTATGTATTTTCCATATTACTAACAATACGGTCTTCTAACTTCATAGTTCTGCCTCTCAGCCTTGGTAACTGATAGAATAGATTGGCAGGTATAAGTCCAGCTCCAATTTTTTGCAATCTTGGACAAACTGAAAATGAGGATAATGCCACATGCCCTGCTAAACTTCCACAATGTGAAACTATGAAAGAAATATATGAAAGTATTTGTAAATTATAAATCATCATACAAATATACTCATCTTTTTTTTTTTTTTGAGATAGGATCTCCCTCTATCACACAGGTTGGAATGCACCGGCATGATCACAGTTCACTGCAGCCTTCATCCCTCACTCAAGCAATCCTCCCACCTTAACCCTCTGACTAGCTGAGACTACAGACATGTAACACCACATCTGGCTAATATTTTATACAGACAGGGTCTCACTATGTTGCCTAGGCTGGTCTTGAACTCCCGAGTTCAACTGATCCTCTAGTCTTAGTCCCTGAAAATGCTGGGATTACAGGTGTGAGCCACTACACTTGGTCTACTCATTATTTTTTAAAAAGCCACGTTTTAATATAAGTATTCCCTATTATTATTATGTATTAAACAGAATGAGAGTCCTCAAGCTACTTAATCTAAAGTAGATACCATGGATCTAAATACAAATAAAAAACCAGTTGGCAGCTATACCTCATATTATACTTGATCCAAATGATTTTATTTTCGGTTAAGTCAAAGGGGTTATTTTTAATACTGTTTGGCTTGCTTTTGGTCAGATGGAAATTTGTAAAAGGAACTTTTGAAAGATTTAAAAGATAAGGCATAGCTAACTGGTGTGGGTGGCATATCGAAGTGTAACACCTATGAGAAAAAGTAGATATGGGACAAAGGATTAGAATAATGAGCATATTGAAGTATATGAGAAGTTCTTCATGAAAGAAAAACTCAATGGAATGTAATTCATTTCCCAAGTCCAGAAGTCAATCAGGTTAAAACAATATCTCAGAGCATAAGAATATCCCATCAGAATATCCCTTTTATTATGGCTTGGCATTAACATCCAACTACTCTAACAGAACAAAATCAGATCTATATTTACAAAAACTTACCAAAAGAGACATTGAATCGCTTTAGTTCATACAGAAAGTGACAAAAATCCATCTATTCCAAAGAAGGCTTTTGTTTTATCTTCCTTTCAAGATGCAGATATATCCTACTATAAAAAACAAAAGCAAAATAATTTAGATTCACATAAAAGTTCCCAAAAGAACTAGTTGCCTTAAACCCATCCAATATTTAGGCAGCTATTCCTCGATATCCAAGATTTAGGCAGCTACTCCTTGACACGAGGAGACGTTCCTGAAAAGTATCTTTAAAGAGCATTTATTTTTTACTGAACATTATTTGGGATCTGACATGAAAACAAAGAAGCAGAGTGAAAACGAAAAGAGGTTCTAAATATTTCCAAAGCCTCAATATATTTGCATTTCTCCTTCCCTATCTTTTCTATACTGTTTTTTGTTTGTTTTTTAAATAACGCTGAGCAAATTTGAAAGCAATATAGAAAACCAAATTTTTGGCCCACTTTATGATATAAACGGCGTCACTTACAATAAACCCCAAGAATTTTCAATGGTTCCACATATTATAACTAAACTCTGAGACTTTCCAAAGCTCTTTCTTATTGGATTAATTACCTCCTAAATCATTTGGGGTCCCTGACCAGCAAATATGGGAGAGAATCAGAGTAACAGACTAGGAAATTAATTCAAGGAGGTACAAAAGCACCATCCACGGTTTCCAGACCTTTACTAATAGAAAGGGTGGCAATCTTGTAAGTTTGTGGGTTCAGAGTATTCCTTTACATCTAACCAACATCATCTCTTTCATCTAAATTGTGCTTCATTATTTCATTTTAATTAAGTCCCCAAATTTGATGAACTCATCTACAAACATGTGAGCAGAATGAGAAAGGGAAGATTTTGTAAACCATAAAAACTATAAAACAATGTCCAATTTACTGCTAAAGAAAGAGGTGAATTTATTCAGGATGTTAACTGTGAACCAAAGGTAGAGATTGGGAGGAAGATGGACCTGAAAGGTTGTGATCATTTAGCCTGAAAGGTTGTGATCAATTTAAGGCACTGGAGTTAGATGTGCTACAAAAGGAGAAAAGCAATGCCTGCCCTGCCAACCTTCCAGGGTGAATGAGATCAAATGAGTTACATCTCAAAGTGCCCCCTAATTAGCAAACACTGTATCAGCTTGAACTATGCTTTGAAAGGTACACTCAAATGTACTGAAGGCAGTACAAAACAACAAGGCTTATTTGGAAATCAGGTTGTAAAATGTTTCAATAACCATGAAAATATTCATACCTTTTGACCCAGTAAAATTCCCTCGAGTCATCTATTCTAAGGAGATACCCAAGTAAATGAAGAAACTACACACCCACAGTCAATACACTGTTAATCTGTAACAGCCAAGTAATCATTACACAAGTGTTTAATGAATGGCTACCATGGGTCAGGCACTGTGGACACCCACTGGTAATAAGGGCGGACAAGGCCCTGGCCACTTGTAGCTGACCTTCTCACAAGCAAAAGGGTTATGGATGTCATGCTTAACCAAATTTTCTGGTTATCGTGATTTTGTATCTTGCTTTTTTCACTCAATGTCAGCAAGTTGTTACTGATTTTGTCTTAATAATGTGAAACTCCATTACGTTGTCTTTTTCTTTTTTTCAGAAAAGCTCAGAAGAAACAGACACAATCTGTTAAGAATTGTTAGTAATAAAAGGGTTGTCCCTATAGAGTGGTTTAATCTCGGAGATTTTTGCCTTAGATACACCAGACTACTAAGAGATAATTTTACAAGACATTTTGAGGTCAAGGCAGCAGCTGCACCCAGCAAAGGGGTGGGGGTGGGGGATTTGCTGTTATTATAATTTTCTCTGGCATGCTCTTTCACGAGACATGAATATATACCCTTTCTTTAAAAAAAGTCATATTTAAGAGACCTCTATTTCGGACTGTATTCACAAGTACATCAGTGCAGTCCCTTGCACTTGTATCTAAAACGCTAATTACAATAAAGCTTTATAAGTAATTTCAGTTTGTTCCACAATAGAATCGTTCATGTGAAGACTTTAATCTGAAAGATTAACACTTTCTGTAGAAATCAAAGGTCGCATCTTCTTACAGAACACAGGCTTTGAGTTAATTTAGGCATTCAACAGAGGCCACTGTTACAGGGAATGCAAAAATAACCCGATGTAACTGTCTTTGTTGAGCTTTAAAACTACTGTAATTTTCAAAGTGATCTTGGGAACCTGTAAAATCTTAACAAAGATCATAGCGACGCACAGCTCGGGAGAATTTTCCAAGCTTAGTGACTCATGCTTTCAACAAATCTTTACTGAGCGCCTACTGTGTGCCAGGCACCGTGCTAGGAAGGCGCCGTGTTACACATCCTCATTAAGTTTTGGGGAAAAGGTACTTGACAACAGACCCAGCAGGGAAAAACACAGGGATGAATTGAAAAACCGAAGACAAAACGACACTCGAGTATTTGATTTTGTAAAAGGTTCCTTCTTAGTCCTGCTTTGGGGGACTTTGCAGCGAACTTGCAGAAGGCGGCAGATAGAACTGGGGTCTGAGGGTGTCTTTGGTGTGGCAACTCGCCAAGCCCAAGAGAGCGGCCAAAGGTGAGGGCTGCGGGGAGAGGACGCCCGGGCGGCCTGGGCCCCGC